AGGTGCATATACGTGGGGGTGTATGTGTACCTATAGTGGCATATATACATGCATATGTAAATGTACATATACGTATGTAAGGAGATATATACGCATATAAGTGTGCTGGACAGCATGATTTATTCCACTGGGTGATCTGGTATTGCCCACAATCTATAAATCTATAACTTAACTAATTTACATTAATCTTAACAGGTTTAAGTTTAAATCTGCTATCAATTATTAATAATATTGGACACCTGTAGTACAAAAACTATTTACTGTGAATCCCAGAAAAACACACTCCGGGGTCTGTATAAGAAACGCCACATAGTAGGAACTGATATTAAACTACAAACAACGAAAGGTTCTGGCCATAAATGAACCCCAACCCCAGACAGCTTTCTCAGGGATAAGATACCTTACGTCCTCCACCAGTCGCTAACACAAACCAATTTTGCTAACAAGGCGTCAACAAGAGGAGGACTGACATTGAATATAAATTTAAAACAATGCTCCGAGACAGACACATATGGGCTGATGATAGCCGCGCACAGAACGGTTTGAAATAGTCTATTCCGATGTTGAGGTAATTTTTTTTATTTTATATTTATATATATATTGTGCATTTGAGCTGTGATACCTTTTTTATTCAAGTTTAATTAAAGACAATTGACAAGGTACTGTGATTAAGATTTTTATTTTCTTATATAATGTGAAACGGTAAAAAACTGGCCGAATGTTCTATATATACGTGCGCTTACTTGTAGAAAATACGACGATAATAGACTCATCAACATGTAAAAACACTTACAAATAATGAAAGTATTAATAATAAAGCAGAAAAAGCACAAAGTCAATAATATCAATTATTCAACAACGGTCAGAACGTGCTAACCATTTTTGGAAAAAAAAATTCCTATATCCCTGCACACACACACACACACACACACACACACATAAATATATATATATATATATCTACATATTCAGTTAAAGACGTCATTGTTAATGGCTAACAGAATAGCCGAAAGCGTTCTGATATGCACTTTATGGCCAGAAGAGAAAACAGTTATACGAACACAAGAGAAATTAAATTAAAATTTAATCGCAGTGCCTTGTAAGACGTCTATATATATATATATATATATATATATATATATATATATATATATGAAGAATTAAAGTCCAAAAACTAATTTAATATATTTTATGTTTATACATTATTTTTATAGATACATTTTATTTAAGTAAATGCCTTTTTTTTTTTTTTTTTTTTTTTTTTTAATAAACAATATTAATTACATTTACCGGCGTGAATGTTCGATAAAATTCGTAGAAAATATGCAATCTCCGACAGGAATCAGACCCGTATTCCTATACAGAAACCGTCATTTTATCTGACGGGCTATAAAATTTAGCTATCGAGAATCGTCTAGTTAAGAAAGTAAATTTACTGTTTATAAACACAATCTTCGGCGATTTTTCTCGGTCGATTTTAACGTAAACAATGTCAACATTTAATGAAATGGATTAAGCCCGACAATTATTAAATATATTTTCTGTTTATATCTTATTTTATACTCATATTTTCTTCGAAATTCTCGAAAATGTATATATATATAAGATTAATATAAATATAAAATTTGTCACTTACCTGATTGACTCCAGAGTTTCGTTGATGAACCTTTATTTGTAATCGTTCATATCTATCTATCTATCTATCTATCTATCTTAACCTATTCCAGACTCCGGTATGTTTAGCGAATAGATGTCACACTATTTTTCTTACCCTTTGTTTATCAATATCTTGAAGAACAATATTGGGGAAAAATGTATGACAAAGTCGAAAAAGTGTTTTTTCCACTATCGTATATATATATATATATATATATATATATATATATATATATATATATATATGAAATGATTATGATAAAAATGAACAGACATAATATTTGTAATTTATTCAATCACACACACACACACACACACACACACACACACACACACACACACACACATGTCTGATTAAATAAATTACAAACGTTATGTCTGCTCATTTTTATCACAATCCTTTCATATTCACGAATATTATTTCTTATATTACAATTGAACGAGGCAAGAAGATCAGTAACTGTGAGAATCACTTTTATTTCCCAAGTACTTTCCACTTCTTTCTGAGATCATCATCAGGGCTGCAACTGGTAAGGCAAAAACTACTAAAATTAGCTACACATAGTTTTTGCCTTTAGTATTAATGTTTTTGTCCTATTAATACAAACACGAGATATAAGAGATATACACTTAGATGCTTAACAGAAGTAGACCCCTATTTTATTGAAATGTTCCAATTCCCCCACATAAAGACCACGCTTATTAATTTCGTACATTTTGGAGTTTTAAATGATTTTCCGACCCCAGCTTTAATTCAGTCCTCGAGTCTATTGGATATTGAGAACACTTATGACTTCCTGTTTGTTATACCAGAACATTACCTATTCTATTGTAATAGACTCTCCCACACATAATAAGTAGTAGTAGTAGTAACGGTCGCCAGTTGGGCTCAGTGAAGTTGAGTGAGTCAGTCGATGTCGGACATTTGAAGTATCAACCACCACAACTAGATTGCTGCGTCATTAACTCTTATTTCAAGTTCCTAACGTTTTGTACGTCGGACCCTTTTAGGACCGACTTAGCGAAATACAAGCCTCCACTGTGAAAACTACTCTACAACAGTGTTGTTTCCATCTGTTAACTGCGATAAATATATGTAGATGATTTTTTTTAATCGGATTTAACGTCTTTGTGTTAAACAACAACGAAAAAAAAAAAAAAATCCGGCTGATAGATATCCTCTTATGTTGATGTTAGGCACGTCACGTCGTCATCCCTATGGCAGGGGAGGCTTCATTTTGGTTTTGGGCAAAAAATAATGAATCGCCAGAAACGAAAGCATTGACGAAAAGGATCATTTTATAACTCTGCTTGTTCTTCCGTTTGTTAGTAATTCTGTATTTAGTTAGACTGTGCGTTATACGTTGCCATTACTCGGGATAAATAATAAACCATTCCGTTTGGATTGTGTGGAACCAGAAAATAAAAATACATATCAAAGACAAAGCAAGCATTCGTAATAATAAGACAAAAAGAAAGAAAAACGAGAAAAAAGAGGAGGCGATAACGCTCCCATATGTTTAACGTCTGCTTTAGTGAAATAGAAAATCTTGTCAATGTTCAATTTGTACTCTCTTTCTTCTTTAAATAAGGACCCGCTGTCATTGTAATATTTTATTAAAGTTGTTAAGTTGAAATGTTTAACGATGCAATAAAAAAATCTCATGAAAAAATCTATTGATGTTAGAATAAATTATTATGAAAAAATCAAAATCAAATAAACAACGATTGTGAATTCAGATAAATGGATTCATAGAAGACACAGGTGTTGAAAAGGAAGGCACACGTAACAAGAAGAAAATAAAGAAAGAAAGCAAGAAATACATGGAAAATAGAGGAGGTGATAATGCTACCATGCATTTAACGTCTGCTTTAGTGAAATAGAAACCATTTTAATCTTTTCATTTGTACCCTCTTACTTCTTTAAATAATGACCCGCATTCACATTTATAATTGTTATTTCATTAATTGGTTAATGTTTTTCAGTTCAAATATTTGACGATGCAATAGAAAAAAGGACATTTTCTGGGCGTGAGTTTCGTAAGGAGCTTATTCGGTCATTGAATTAAGAATTATAAGACATCAGAAAATTTAAATAAGGAAATCGGAAAATGTTCACGGTTATGGTTAAGGAGCAATACATTTGGGGATATATTGAGGAAGAGTTATTAGATATTGTTTTATTCTGATTGCCTACATTTATGAATGTGACACGTCTCCATCTGTAGGATTTAGAGTGTAATAACTGTGTCCCCCTATCTGATCTCATCTATTTATCTATAGATCAATCAAGCTATCTATTTCAGTATCTCTTTATCTATTTCCGTCTATTTCTATCTATCTATCTATCTATCTATCTATCTATCTATCTATCTATCTATCTATCTATCTATCTATCTATCTATCTATCTATCTATCTATCTATCTATCTATCTATCTATCTATGTATTCCAGTCTATTTCTATCTATCTATCTATCTATCTATCTATCTATCTATCTCCGTCTATTTCTATCTATCTATTTCAGTCTCTTCGTATCTATCTATTCATCTATCTATCTATCTATCTATCTATCTATCTATCTATCTATCTCAGTCTCTTCATATCTATCAATCTGCCTAACCTATTCCAGTCTCAGCTATGTTTAGCAAATAAATGTACTATTTTTCTTACTCTCTGTTTATCACTATCTATTTATTTCCCACAGTATATATATATATATATATATATATATATATATATATATATATATATATATATATATATATGTGCGTGTGTGTGTGTGTGTGTATGTGTGTGTAAACACATGCATCTAATTTCCTTTTTTCTTTCAATAATGTTTAGTACAATACATTGCCGCATATTATTCTAGTTGTTGAAATCGTGTTAATTTTTCCCCACCCATTTTCCCCACAAAACACGACTCCACAATTGATTTTCTGAAAACGCGTTTTGTCCAGTCATTCATTTAACCCAATAATTGTACTGAGAGTCTTCCGTACACGAAACCACACCAACCGTTCACTCATTCCCGTCCGCACCTGGGCGGAAGGCGTCAGTCCTGCGATGGCCGCCGGCGTTATGGCTTTAGAGCATGTGTTCTTTGTGGAGACGGGACCGAGCCATCACGCTTAACTGAAACATCACGAAGCTGGCTGATGGTGTATCTGTCATTGTCACGATCTTATACGTCGGGAGATCACGAAACGACATCGTTCTTTGGCTTGTGTGTGTGTGTGTGTGTGTGTGTGTGTGTGTGTGTGTGTGTAATGAAGAGAGAGTTGCCCGGTCCGTTGGTTAGATAAAGGGTTGTGCGGGCGGGCAGCTGTTGAGAAGGACTGAATATTAAGAAAGAAAGAAAGAAAGAAAGATAGAAAGAATAGCAGAGGGAAGAAGTGAAAATAAAGAGAGAAAGAGAAAAAGAGAAAAAGAAAAGAGGATGAGAAAGGGAAAAGGGAAAGGGAAGAAGAGAGAAAAGACTGCCGAGAATAAAAAGAAAGGAAGACAGAAAAGAAAAGCGAGAAAGAGAAAAGAAAATTGAAAAAGAAGAAGAAGAAGAAGAAGAAGAAAAGATAGAGTAACGAAAGAGAAGAGACGGGATGTAAAGCGGAAAGAAAGCAACGAGGAATAAAAAATGAAAAATGAAAATGAGAGAGCGTAAATGAAAAGATATAAGAAAGGAAGGAAGGAGAAAAGACGGGAGAGTATGAAGAGAAGAGAGAAATAGAAAAGAGAAGGAATAGAAAAAAGATCCAAGAAAAGAGAAGAGAATGAAAGAGAAAAAACGTCGAGGAAGAGAAAATAGGTTAAAAAGAAAAAAAGAGGGAAAGAGATATTAAAAGAAGAAAGGAAGAGGAAAAAATGACAAAGAAGAAGAAATGAAAGACAGAACAAAAATAAAAAATCAGTGAGAAAGAAAATTAAGTAAATTGTTTTCCATTTTGTCTCATTTTTTTTTGACAAAAAGAAAAGAGAAATTGGAGACAAAGAGAGAAAAAAACAGAGAGAGAGAGCGAGAGAGAGGGTGAGAAATAGAGAAGGAAAAATAAAAAAGAAAAGAAAAGCGAAAGAGGAAAAAAGATAAAAAAGAAAGAGAGAAGAAAAACTGAGAACGAATGAAGATGAGACGATAGATTTTGAAAAAAGATATTTTCGAGAAAGACGGTAAAACAAATAAAGAAAAAAAAAAGAAAAATAGAGGAAGAATTTGCTTTGGGAAGAACTGGAAAGCGTAGAGAAAGATAAAGAAATCTGAACATGAAGGAAGATAAAAAGAACGAAATGAAAGAGATTTAAAATAAAATATGAAGAGAAAGAGAACACTGACAAGAATAAAAGGAAAAGAAAAGAGTGAATAGCCATATAAATGAAAAAAAGAAAGAAGAAAAACGTATGCAAATATCGAATTAAAAGAAGGAGTGAGATAGAGAAAGAAAGAGAGTGAACGTGGCAGCTAAAGAATGATAACTTTTAAAAGAGAGAGTCGATTATGGGGGTAAAGGAGAAAAACGCGGTCATTCTTAGGAAAAGGTAAAAACATTTTTTTTTTCTAAAATATGTCCTATTTAAGCATTCTATTTCACAAATAATACATATGGGTTGGGCACTTCGATATGATGTAATGGTTGGCAAGCTTGTAGTGAGTTCGATCCTCACTGGGTGCCCCATACTTTCGGCCTTGTGCCACATCTAAGCTACGCTTAGAAAATCACTTAGAGCACTTTGACGTGATGTAATGGTTAACAAGACTGTCTTGCAAGGTCAATTGCCAGTAAGTAGTGAGTTCGATCCTCACTGGGTGCCCCATACTTTCGGCCTTGTTACATCTAAGCTACGCTTAGAAAATCACTTAGAGCACTTTGACGTGATGTAATGGTTAACAAGACTGTCTTGCAAGGTCAATTGCCAGTAAGTAGTGAGTTCGATCCTCACTGGGTGCCCCATACTTTCGGCCTTGTGTGCATCCAGCTTACGCTTTAGAAAATCACTTAGAGCACTTTGACGTGATGTAATGGTTAACAAGACTGTCTTGCAAGGTCAATTGCCAGTAAGTAGTGAGTTCGATCCTCACTGGGTGCCCCATACTTTCGGCCTTGTGCCACATCTAAGCTACGCTTAGAAAATCACTTAGAGCACTTTGACGTGATGTAATAGTTAACAAGACTGTCTTGCTAGGTCAATTGTTAGTAGTGATTGATCCTCACTGGTGCCCCTGATACTTTGGTTTTTGTTACATCTAAGCTGCGCTTAGAAAATCACCATAATAGATAAGGGGGAAAAGTAAACACGTCAAGGCATATTTATAGTGATTTCCAAGCGCAGCTTAGATGTGGCACAAGGCCGAAAGTACAGGGCACCCAGTGAGGATCGAACTCACTATTCAGTTGTTATTGTTTTAACGAGACAAGCTTACTAACCATTAAATCAAGTCGAGGTGACCCATAGCATACTTATATAAGAGTCGTTGAGAATTCTTCAAATTGGTATTTACTATAACTAAGTTTGGCACAAGGATTAAACTGTGGAGCACCCCCATTCGCGCGAACTATCGATCGAAAAATGATCTGGATGTTGAACGGTAAAATTTCTTAATCGCCATTTTGCAACGTTTAAAACAACAATTTTAATTTAATAATGAAATTTCGTCAGAAACAAAGAACAGGCTACTGGACTGCTATGTACGATTAATCATCCGATATGGCAGCGAGTGTTGCTCATTTATATCACACATTCAACAGACTATGTCCGCGACGCAAAGGAGGGCCTTAGAATCGGAAAAAGGGTTTCGAGGAAAAAGGGTTTCGAGAATTTGACACACACAGAGCATGTAGAAGGCAAAAGGGGC